AGGATCCTGAATATGGCAGGGAAGTCATCAACTTGGTGTCTTTTCGTCCGCAGGATTTATTCGGGAAGGCTGGAGACGCCAGTCGCGCGGACCCCCCGTTTGGCCGCCAGTCACCACGTCTGGCCCCAGTTCACCACCTTCGCGTAAAAATCCCAACACCCTGTTGCGCAAAGCGATTTATGCGCGCGTTAAAAAGGATTTAGTCGTTCGCACCTCTGCCCCACTTGTTCCCCACCCCCTTCTCCCACCCTCGTGACACGCTCGCTCCCGCACCCACCCCACTCAACACACTCCACCACCATCATTTTCACATCCTTCACACATCTCACACCATCCCAACACACAGCCATCCACTCGATACGATGACGACTCCCGCGTTCACCACACCCTTCTCCGGAGCCTCGCTGACTGTCCAACCGCACTTGTCCTCGTCCGTCTCATCCCGCCGACCCAAGCATTCTAGCAGCACCCCGGTCGCCGTCCTTGGCTCCCGAACATCGACATCTGCCTTCGGCGTCACGCAGGAGCCGAAGACCTACACGATCAAGGTCATGCAGAAGGACCGCTGCACCCTCGTCGAGATCGACCACGACACGGACGTCCGCAGGGCTTTACTGGAAGCTAAGGTTGACCTGTACACGCTCGGCGGCAAGCTCAGAAATTGCGGTGGCGGTGGCCAGTGCGGAACCTGCCTCATTTCCGTCGAGGACGGCGTCTACTCAACCAACGGACGCACCCCTAAGGAAGAGCATTTGCTGCAAGGAAAGCCGGACAACTGGCGGTTGGCCTGCCGCACTATGGTCCACGGTGACTGCACCATCAGAACCAAACCGAAGGCATAAGATTAGAGTGGCTGTGCTGGCAGCCCTTGCGGCGTATCAATCACAATCTCTGCTACCAAGGATACGCCATGTACCACAATTTTGTGTGGCAGAAAGCGTCCTCCTAACTACCAGTCCCAGGCCCTTCAGCCGACATTTTTCGCTTTGCTCACGGCAGTATGTCAAAGCTCGCATTATGCAGTAAATAGAAGTCTATTTTCCCCGTCATTTTTGCTTTTCACTGCCGGCCAGACCTCCCCTCGCGAAAATCGTCGCAGCTCTTGCCGGAGCCGCTTGTTTCGCGAGCCTTTTCATGGAGCGGAAGAGCCGGGCTGGCTCTGCTGAGAAAAAAAAAAAAAAACTGGTCACTTGAGGATTCTTACCCCTCCGGTTGCAACATCGCGAGGCTACTGCATTCATCCTATGGAAGACTGAAGGGCTGCGACCTAGAGCTTCACATTCCTACCCATCCTACCCAAGCACCTCCATGAGGCCTGGCGCTTATCTCTGTGCTGAACCTCCTTAATTATCCGCGAACTATTTGCACGAATGAAGTTCAAAACCCAGAACAGTAGCAGTTATCGAAAGGACATCACAGAAATATTCTTCGCGCCAGAATTTGCGACGCTGCAGTAAATTACGGTCGTAGAATGCCCTGATGAAGCAGATGCGTCATTAAAATGAAGAAGTATAGAATTAGAACCAATGCAATTTCTTTGCAAGGCCTGAAATGCAGGACGGCGTCACGATTCCTATCTCCCCTTTAAAAATGGGAAATCACACCGTTTCATTAAGAGCTTGCCTCCTCGCAAAAAGTTAGATGCAAGTTAACTTTAGCTCCTCCTTCTCAAGACACGCGGTGCCGATCTAACTGTTGCACGAGAATCGTGACTGTATATCTCACTGCAGGCGCCAGCCCCCGGCTCACAATGGTTCTTCAAACGCATGCAATGCGTGAGATCACCAGTGTGGTAGATGCTTCGATACTACTTCGGGATGGCATTCGAGACACTCCTGGTTTAGAGCTGGTCGGAGATACATGGCTGAATGTCATTGTGTTCACTGTGACTAAAAACCCGGACTTGGTCGGTAAGCTCCAAGCAGTCCTCCAGGATGCAGGGTGGCATATCCGGGCTCTACAGGACCCGCCCGCTATTCAGGTGTGCCTTTCGAATCCAATGGCCGTGCGGGTTCATGAACTCATGGCGCTGATACGGGAGCAGTACTCGCTGATAAGCAAATGCATCCATGACAGACGTATGAGCAGCACTTGTTCTCCAAGGTGTATCAGACAAACAGGTGAAGCAGCGCAGCATACCTCATCAGAAACTGCAAACGCAGTATCAAGAACTCTACGTATGAACCAGCCTCGTTGCTCCCAAGTCTCCATTTTCGAACGATATTCGGAAAGCACGCTGTTGGGCATTTTTGGCAACTCCTGCGGTCGGTAGTTCGGCCTTTATATAATAATGAACATGCGACTCTCGTAACCTTACAAGCGCGAATTTAACCGCGGTCTGAAAGGTTTTGCTACCTCTTCGCTCTGAGCTTCGCCCAGCTCAAGCTCAAGTATCCGCAAATCGTTTTCAAGTGGGTCGAAGAATTTCTCCACGGCCTCGTCGGACACATCGTCAATGTTGGCAGGGTTCCATATTGGATTGCGGTCCTTGGTGACAAGCGCGGACTTGACACCCGTATAGAAATCATCTCGCCGCAGACATCTCGTGACTATCCGAAACTCCATCCTGAGGCAATCGTCAACGCTCAGGCTCGCCCCTCGCGTCTGCGCCTGGAACGCGATCTTGAGTGATGTCGGACATTGCTTGCGAATGAGGGCCACAGTCGAACTCGCAAACGTAGATTCTTGCTCTGTTCCATCCTTTACAATGTCATTTAGTGCACCCAAAATGGATGCCACAGAATCTCTCGTAAAGCTCCGGCGAATCACGTCCAACCCGTCAAGCTGACCGTCGGGGCCGGTGTCCACCTCAAATTCCTTCAGCACAGCGCCAATAGCGGCTTCGTCCGGCAGCTCCGAAGCCTGTAGCCTGGAGATGAGTTCGTGAACACCCTCCGGCGACACAAAATGCGTGGCAAGGCCCGCTTCCTTCACCTGGCCCCCCTTCAAGCGAGCGCCCGTGAGCGCGAGATACATGCCGAGCCCCGGTTGTTCGAGTCTGCTCAGAAAGTAACTCGCGCCAACGTCCGGGGATAGGGCAATTGCGCATTCGGGCATAGCAAAGACTGTATTGCTTGTGGCCACGCGATACTTGCCGTGGACCGAGAGGCCCGCACCGCCGCCCATGACGATTCCATCCAGTATGGCGACGGCGGCCGGGCGCATGCGTGCTAGGAGGGAGTTCATGCGAAACTCTATGCGAAACAGGTCATCGCCGTCCTCGAAGCGGCCGGCAGCTCCATGGTCATACACGGCCCTGACGTCGCCGCCCGCGCAGAAGGCGCGTGCGGGGGTGCCGTGCGCGGCGAGGACGACGCAGCGCGTGCCCAGGTTTGCGAGAGTGTGCAGACGGGCGTGAAGCGCGGAGCACATCGGTTCGGACAGCGCGTGCAGCGCGCGCGGGCGGTTTAGAAGCAGCGTGCGAGTCGAGATGTTGGGCGGCACCCATTGCTCTAGCACTGGGTGCAGCAGAGACGAGTCCGGGACGAGCAGGCCCGTGGATGCGACCCCGTGCGTTAGCTGCAGGGACGACGTGCAGACCGTGCGCGGTGAGGACGGCATAGTGGGTGGCAGGCGGCGGACGAGTAGGGGGAGACGGTGGAGCATGGACATGTCGGGCTGAGAGGAGCAGTACTCGAGATTTTTGAAGACGGGCCGCATGGTTGTAGCAGTAGGATTGATTGGCTGCCTCCTTCAATTGAATTTTAAGATGTCCAGTAAAGCAACCTGTTCCAGCACGGATACAAGCAGGACGGCACAAGAGAGAGATGCACTCACCCCTCTCGTTGCAATGGCGCTCCAAGACTCATTCACATTGTTCATGGGCGTGAGCAGATATAGCTCACGTGTTTAAGGCAAATTTGTCGTTTCTAAAGGAGGGTAAGAGTTGTGATCTTGATAAGGCATTTGTACTGTTGTGAGGGTGAACATGAGAAGGTGGGACGCGTTTCACCTTCTCGCATACGCCTACATCGGGATAGGGTAGTCGAGATTTTTTTTAACGAGTGGATATTTTCGGCGAAGCTAACTTGCGACAACGCTATCGTTCATCGACTGTTAGCGCAAACAACTGCGCTGTGTAGCAATGTCTCTCATACAGCAGCAAGCATGACACAATCTATGCGCCGACAATCGCTTAGAAAAAAAAAAAAAGCGCAGAGACGCCAGGAACAACGTCTTGTCCCAACCCAGCAGCAGCCTTCCAAAAAATGAGGCTCTTTACTGTGGCGTCCCCACACAGTGCTTGACCACGACCGAGTCAGTGGAGGCAAGAAAACAGAAGGACCTCAGACTAGAACAACAAGGTATTGAAAAGGAGCAAAGCAAAGCACGCACTGAAAAAGAGAGAGCTCTTGTTAAAGTTGGAAAGCAAGAAAGACTAACCCTTGTTGCCGTCAATAGGAAGAACAAAAAGGAGGAAAAAGCAAGACGTGATGCTCTTAAACGTCTTCAAAAGCAGCAAAGAGAGGAAGCTACGGCAGCGAAGGGACAACAGAGAGCAAAAGGAAAGGCTGAATAATTTTTGAAACGAGCAAAGAAAACAGGGAAGGATCGTGTTGGTCCGGCATTTGAGGGGGGCATTAGTCAGAGCATCAACACTCTGAGTGTTGATGGGCAAAGAGGGTGTTCACATCAGCTATTGATATCTACGGCAGGAAATGATGGTAAAGAGCCTGTCCGGAATTACTCCTTACGGGAAGGGTACACAGCAGGCTGCATCTCGGTGTAAAAATTTGTGATTTCCGGAGTCTTCCATTGGAGGTCTCCGGAGTATCAATAGCAAAAAATAATTCCACACGCGTGTGACTATGCACAAGTACAGTACGCACAATGTACATCCCCACTGGCCCACCCACGCTGATTGGCCGTGCTCCCGCTCCCATGCCTGAACTTGCTGTAAACACAATCACCCCATACTGTAGACATCGAAACCTCCCCTCGAAAAAGGCCTACTAGCCGGTCGTTCACCGACCTGCCCCTGACGCCCTCTACCAACACTCACCCCACCTATCCCCGCTCCTCCCGCCCATCGTCCTCCGCCGCCATGTCGTCCTCCTCTGACGAGGACGCGATCACGGAGCGCGGCTACGACCGCAGTGCTTCGACCCTGGACAGCCGCCGGACGACGACGACGACAACAACAACAACATCCACGTTCACGAGCGACTCCCCGGGCGCGGCGTCGACGTTCGAGAGCAGCTCCTTCTACGAAGACCTAGAGGGCGGCACGATGGCCTTCTACCAAGCCGGCAGCGACGCGGGCACGGAGCCGCCAACCGAGCGGCAGCGCCAGCAGCAGGCGCGCCGCGTCGCCGCGCACTGCGCGCGGCTCGACCCCGTCTTCGCCGCGCGCGCCACCGACCGCGAGAAGGAGGAAGGCTTCCGCCGCCTGCGCGCGCCGGACGTGCGCTATCTCGGATTCGTCCCCGGCGAGAGGAAGGGCTTGCCGTTTTTGAACGTCCAGCCGCTCGTGTACGCAAAGCCCCGCACCGACTTCGCTATGCATTGCCCTGTGTCGTGGACCGAGAGGACTAAGGTCGCCGCGTTCTTTCTTGTCTTCGCCGCGTTCGGCACGGGCGTCGCTTTGTTCCTTCGGCATTTGGGAAACGCGCCGGTCGCGTGACGCCGCGTGAGGGCGTGAGGTTGGGTGCTTTGTCGCTGCTCGCGAGCACGGAGCCTTGAGGGAGGATTAGATTACGGGTAGATTTAGGAGACAGTCAGTCGAAGGTGCTCTTTGTAAAGGGTTCTTGTAGTGTTGTAGATGCGGAATGGCTTCCTTCTAAGCAAGGGTCAAGTTCATAGCGACGAAGGAGGGTACGGTCTTCAGCTTTCACAGTGCATGCCACGTCCTCATTGTCGGACGAGACACGTGTTGAACCCTGGCTCTTCAGAGCGGCCCAACATTGCTGGCATAGCCTTGTCCGTGCTGTAGAGCATCAATTGTTTTCTTTCGCGCCAAAACGTAAACCCATGCAACCACCACCCCGACTGGATCACCATCCTTTCTCCCGGTCGTACCCCCGGCAACCCCATTAAGCGACGCGTCGGAGCTATGCCCTCCACGCCGCCCTGCCCTCCACCTCCCCAATGACGCCGCCCCGCACCCCGTCCGACTCTGACGAAGACGTCTTCGACGGCGGCCCCGCCGGCGCGCAAGTCCTTCCGCCCTCCCCACCTCCTGCATCCCCTGCGCCCTGCGCGCCCCCCACCGGCACCACATGGAGTTCGCCGCTGGGCTGGTCCGTCTTCTTCCCTGACGCCGCTGAAAACGACCCTGCCTGCGCCGGCCGCGCAAAGGCCGTGCGCACGCTCCTTGCCTTCTTCGCCTCCCCGCCGGGCCACCGCCTGCTCACCTCCATCCCGTGCGACACCTTTACACTCCCTCTGGACTTCCACCACCTCGCGCACCGCTCCTCGCCGCCCGTTCTGCGCGGCATAGCCGCTGCCATCCCTGACGCCCCCGACGACTCGCTCGCCTCCATCGGCTTGGCCGCCTGTCGCGCTGTCGAACGCCTGGCGGGCGCCGCAAACGACCAGAGGTTTCCCGGTATGCAAGACTTGAATATCTCTAGGGAGAATCGCCTCTGGCCGAGGGTGTACAACTTTGCCCCGGTCACAGCCATGAAGAGCCTCCGCGGCAACTCGGTCGGCAAGTTTGTCACAATTAAGGGCACCGTTGTCAGGGTCTCCAACATTCGCCAGCAGCTGGTTTCCATGCAGTTTGAGTGCGCAAAGTGCGGGGAGAACCAGTTCAGGTCGTTTGTGGATTATAAGTACAGCGTGCCGTACAAGTGTCCCACCGACAAGTGCCGCTCGAAGATGTTTGCTCCGTTGAGGGAGACGGCAGAAACGGTGGACTGGCAGAAGATCCGTGTCCAGGAGTTGCAGGAGATGAATAACGATTTGTCATTCAGAGAGGAGGGGCGCATGCCGAGGACTATTGACGCCGAGCTGTTTTCAGATCTCATCGATACGTGTATTCCGGGCGATATTGTCACCGTTTGCGGCACCGTTAGAGTGTCAGCGGTGGAGAATGGAGGGGGTAACAAGGCCAAGTGTCTGTACTACATGTATCTCGAGGCGAACTCTACAAGCACAAGCCGAAACAGAAATGCCTCTGCGGTAGCGTCGGCCACCCCGGTTGGACGCTATTTCGAAGAGTCGGAGACGGTTGCGATCCATAGAGTCATTCGCGAAGTTGTCCGCGAGAAAGATCCTTTTGGCTTCCTTGTTCATTCTGCGGTTCCGTCCATCTATGGTCACGAAATTGTGAAGGCTGGACTTCTGTTGTCCTTGTTCGGGGGCTCTCCCAAGGAGCGTATAGGTCCGTCTTCTACTTCAAAGCCTATTGCTATTCGCCGCGATATCCACTGCCTTGTTGTTGGAGACCCGGGTCTGGGCAAGTCGCAAATGCTAAAGGCCATCTCGAACATAGCTCCCCGCGGTGTTTACGTATGTGGGAATACGACCACGACAGCAGGCCTGACTGTGACTGTTGTACGAGAGGCAGGCGGGGATTTCGCACTGGAGGCTGGGGCACTTGTACTGGGCGACCGTGGAGTTTGTTGCATTGATGAATTCGATAAAATGGGGGCAGAGCACGGTGCTTTGTTGGAAGCAATGGAACAGCAAAGCGTGAGCGTCGCGAAGGCTGGGTTGCTATGCAACTTGAGCGCTCGCACGACTGTGGTGGCTGCGGCAAACCCCGTTGGCGGGCATTACGATCGCTCACGGACTGTGTGCGAAAACCTGAAAATCGCACTTCCTTTGCTGTCGCGATTCGACATCGTATTTATCTTAATGGACAAGGCAGACCATGCGAGGGACCAGTTCATCTCGGAACATGTGATGAAAATGTTCGGCATGCGTTCTTCCAACCGTCCGGCTGGGCAGGGGTGGAGAAAGTCTTTCCCGAACGATCAGCGTCAGAGGGAAAGCTCGGGCACTACTTCGGCGACGACAAATATTGACGAGTTAGAATCAGACCTGGAAGGGGAGACTCATACATCGCTACAAAACCGGCTGCGATCGATGCGAGTGTCGGACCCGTTACCCCCGCGTCTCTTCCGTCAGTACATCGCCTACGCGAGAGCGCACGTACATCCCGCGCTTTCCGAAGGCGCCAAGCGAGAGTTCCAAGAATTCTACCTGCAGCTGCGCAAGAGCACGCACGAGCAGTCGATCGACACGACGCCGATCACAACGCGGCAGCTGGAAAGTCTAGTTCGGCTAGGCGAAGCGCGAGCGCGAGCCGTGATGCGCACGGTGGTGACGGCGCAGGACGCGCGGGACGTAATCGAAGTCATGCGCGAATCGATGATCGAAACGCTGACGGACGAGAGCGGGACGCTCGACCTCGGCAGGGCCAGCGGGATGAGCAGGAGTCGCGATGCGAGACGGTTTGTCAGCGCGATGCATGCCGAGGCGAAGAGAGGGAGGAGCGCGATGTTTAGTAGGAAGATGCTTCGGGGCGTGGCGGAGAGTATCGGAATAAGCGGGGAGCGGTTCCAGACGCTCGTAGAGACGGTGAATCATCAGGGGTACTTAATGAAGAAGAGGGGTGGGAAATGGGAGCTGCAAGGGTCGTCTTTTGCAGATGAGGGATACGGATGAGGATGGGGTTTTTCGTTTAGATGCAAACATCATCTGAGGGCCTCCTGAGCAAGTTGTCTGTACGGGAGATGCGGAATGATGCTGTCGATCGCCGTGAGGTGTCCCGTACGTTGGTGGAAGGAGGTGTGTAGGACGTAACAGGACGGAGGGGATAGGAGAGGAACTCCAGGTCATTGCAGCTCGGACAAACTGTAGATTTGTACAAATCGGGGGTAAGCGCGGATGTAGATGTGCTGATGGTGGTGCGGTCTGTGGATGAGGACGTGGCGGAGGACGTGGCGGAGATCGAAGAGATTGTGGCAACGGTGTTATTGTGGCGGAGGGAAGTGGGACTTGGACGAGCGACCGTTTCGTGCACTTGTGATAACGTGACTGGGTTCTCCTGTTGCAACGAATCACATTGGTGCAAGCGCAACTTGAGTCTGGTCTTTTCCTCGACCAATCAGCGGGCAGCCGTGAGGCAGATGGTGATCAAGTCTGCTCCTATGGTGCAAACTCATTGGACGGTTGCCCCCATCGCATCTGACGGTTACATCTGCTCGTACAGTATCATTTCTCTCCATTCCACGAACGCATTCAGTAGTGTCGGCGGCTGCCTTTTTCTTCCTTCCCACAACCTCGCCGCATGCGCAGCAGAATGCAAGGGGGCGAAGCTGTGCCCCGCTGCTGCTGCACTCGTCCCCTCTCTACCGCAACACCGCACGTACTCTCCGCCAATTGCTTCTGAGCCCTCTCCCTCCACATCTTGAGTCATCCCCACTCCTCGTCTATTTCAACCCCGCCCACCAGCTTCTCTCACCCCGCTACCACCCAAAGTCCTCACCATCTTTTACACCGTACCAACCTGCCTTTCCTACTCTTCGCTCCTCAAATCTAGCCTTCCCAGAAACGCCCTCACCTCCGCACCTGGACGGAAACCTTCCTCCGGTGCACCCAAATGCCGCTCAACATTCCTACCACCGACGCCCCCCCTCCCGTCCGTCTCGAAATCCCTGCGCACGAATTCCTCCCCACGGACGCCCCCCCCTCCCCCCCGCCGCCGCGCCTGTTGCGACGCGCCAAGCCGTCGCCGCCTTGGCAGTCGCGCGTGCAACACGCCTCGGCCTCGCGCGACGCCACCCTAGCCCAGACGCGGGACAAGTGCCGCCACCACGTCGATCACGTTCTCACAGTCGCGCACGATGTCAAAGAGACGCGTCGCCAAGCCTCCGCTGCGCGCCACGCTCGCCTCTGCGCCGCGCAGCACAGCGCCGCGCAACGCCGCTCGCAGCTCCTCCACAGCCGCGTCCAGCATATGGCGAAAGCGCGCGCGAGGCGCGCTCGCGTCCTCAGAGAGGGCTCCGCGAGGAGGAAGATCGAGACCGCACAGGCCGCCAGAAGGGCCAGGTCCGAAGCGGAGCAGCGGAGGGGGAGGCTGCTGTGTGAGAGGAGGGAGAGGGCCGCCAGGTTTTCCCCGCCGAGGGGCGTGCCCATAGTCCCCGCCAGAGAGTTGAGCCCTGCTACTGGGGAATGCGGAGGCTCGCCGGAAGCGATGGAGCCGGTTTCGCTGCAGTGCAGTGAGGAGAAGGGGGAGGACACGACGGAGGGTTCACCGCAGTCTGTGTTTGGCGCAAGGACGTGCTTGTCGGAGTCGATGGCGCGGAGCTTTCCGAAGATGAAGAATCTGGATTCTGATGAGGAAATGAAGCATGCATTTGGGTATGCGCATGGAAAGGGGGAAAGGGAGGTGAGACGCGCCGCGGGGAAGATTTCTGGATATTATCTGTTGAGCAAAGCACGCCAGGCAATGGCCCATGCCGGCGTTCTCGGGGAGACTCTGAGTTCGCTTGGTTTTGACGAATGCACGAGTCGTCTTGAAACCCCGGAGGCCCAGAAGTCTGTTGACCTCGTCTTCCAGGCGCTGGGCATGCGAAACAAGAACCGGTTAGTGACACGCAAGGATACCATGAGGGAGCAGATGGAAAGACGCGTCCTGTTGAGCTCCATTGTTGTATCCCTGCACCCAGAGGCAGTTATGGAAGAGAAAGTTCGACCTTCAAATCCCACCGCCGATGTTGTCTCTGTCGATAGTTGGGCGGTCTACACAGCTCGTCGCATGCTCCTGTGCCTTCATGTTGGCACGCTTGGGGCAGTTGCCAATGCATGGCTCCAATGGCGCCGAGCTTTTACGAAATGGAAGAAGAATGATGCAGAAGTTCTCCTGCGCGCTATGATTGAGGACGCAGTGGCGACACAAGCTCTGCAGAATACCGTGACTCGAGGTTTCAACGACGCGAAAAGCCAAGAGCGTATGCGAACAAGCCTTGGTGGTTCTAGCTCTGCTGCATCCGCACGGCAGCAGGAACAAACTATCTGGGGGGAGCAAATCTCCCGGAAGCAAGAAATGATCAAAGAAGCCGTCGACAAGTTTGCGGGACCCCGCGGACTAAGACGCCTCCAAGCTGCCCTTGCCGCGTCGCGACAGATTACGGATGAGCGAGTTATACACGAAATCATGATTGACTTGCCCGGCTTGCTGGCCAAGATTCAGTCTTCTCCACCAGTACCTGAAGACGCTTGGAGAAGATTGCAAATCGAGCTATCAAAGTCTCCCCCGGAAAAGAATGAACTGGCACGTCGTTTGTTGCATCTCTCTAACATGTTGAATTCTATGATAGAGGGGTGTTTTGTAATCGAAAACGACGAAGTGACAGACGAATTGAACGGCGATTTCGCAATTCAATTGGTTTGCCGTGTGGCCGCAGCATTGGAAAAATGCCAGGCTGAGGCCTTCGATGAACCTCTACGGGAGTGGGTTAATGATACGATCTTGAAGCTCCAATCTGCTGGCGAGGCGCTTGCTTCTGTTGTGGTTGACACTCTCAGGCAGATGACAGATCTTGTCGAGAAAATTCACCACTCAATTGTTACGTTTCGCATTCAAAGGGTCGCGCCAGTAGTGCAACAATACGGCGCCGCATGGGAACGATCCAGTTTCCAAGGGCATGTGATGTCGGGAGAGGTTCCGTCCTCGTTTCCGCAAACAAGAAATCTGTTCTCAGAAGTAGTGGTATCTGTCACTAACAACAACAACACATCTGACGTACAAGACGTTAGCCCCTCCGCACCGCTTCCATTGAAGGAGGTAATTATTCGAGGTATTATTCGCCTGATAATGAAATCCACAGGGTGCAGCCCAGAAGAGCTTCCCGAGTTTATGCGCCTAGACCAACAAAGAATCGTTCGAATGCAGAATGATTTTCAGGGGTGCGCTCTCCTTGCCAGTTTGGATAACATCGCAAAACAATTTATCTCCTCGAAGGGCGCTCCAAGGAGCAATGACGCGGTTGCAAAAGTTGTGGTAGTTCTTGAGTCTGAGAGCCCGACGCTGAGAGATATTCAGAATGCCTTTATGGCCGGTGTTTCGTCTTCATTGTCAAGAAATAATATAAACGTCCGCAATGGCGAGCGAGAGCTACTTGAAGGGATAGTGGAAAATGCAACGAGACCAAGTGACAAGACTCTCACGCTGATGATGGAACGAATGGAACATGCGTTGCTCGGCTACAGTTTACGGGCGCAAAGGGTTCAGGGTTCCGCGAGGATACCGATCTCGAGCGATGTAGTTTTGCCACCGGGACTGGAAGGCATTGAAGAGCGTGTGAAGAAGCTTAGTCGCACTATCACTCGTCTTGCGGATCACCTCCTGCAAGTACATGGGTCGGCGCTAAATTCCCTAGTAGTATCCATCTAAATCCAGCTCGAGTAAAAATGCATGTAGTATTTGTAATCCAGGGGTCCGACCTGATTGTACGCTAATCAGCTGTGTTGCGTTCTCTGGTAACATCTGCGGGATAGATGAGCAAAAATGGAGCGCATTCCAAGCCTTCTCAATGCAAATAAATCCAGTCCAAAAGCTATAGTATTCCAGGTTGGCAAACCCAGATGCACCGCGGGAGTTCGTTTCAATAGAAATCTGTGTGCTTTTGAGAGCCACCTCTAGTTCTGCAACGACAAAAACAAACAGAACACGAAAATCTTGGGAACACTGAGGGAATTCGATTGTTCGTGGTGCATTTCGAAGCTGATCAGGCGCACTCATTGCGGGAACAGTACGCTCCATAACAAGGCCATAAAAGGCTTCACGAAACCGATTTGTTGAATAATGTCATCGTTAGCCTTAAGACAGGAATAGGGCTCTCAATAGTGGTATACGCTTGTGCAAGCATGCGACAGCAGATGTTCTTCACGCATTTCTTCTCGCTCTGCAGTCTAACGAGACAATGGAACAACACTGGATGTGGATCTAGTCCGCAATAAGCTGGGCTAGGTTTATTGGTAGTCCTTGCGCCACTGCTCAAACTTCTCGCTAACTGCTGGTACTGACAATACCTCCGTTTTGTCGACACCTCTAGTGCGCAAATTTACCGTGCTGTCATTAAGCTCCTGCTCTCCCACAACAAGAATTGTATTGTAGTAACTGTTCCTGGCTTCCGCCAGTTTCTTGCCGAGAGTGCGGTCACTAGTGTCGATTTCAACGTGGAACATACCCTGCCTCAACTCGCTTTGCACCTTCTTGGCGTAATCCAGGAACTTCTCAGAAACTGGGACGACAATCGCTTGTCTTGGTGAAAGCCAGAATGGCCAGAATCCAGCGTAATGCTCGATCAAAATTCCTATGAAGCGTTCAAAGGAACCAAAAATGGCTCGGTGAAGAATGACCGGCCGGGCATAGCCTTCCTTCACCGGAGGTGCCTGCCGTGCTTCAGCTTTTGCAGTTTCAATGTCCCCACCTCCACAGCAATCGAGACAATGGAACAACACTGGATGTGGATCTAGTCCGCAATAAGCTGGGCTAGGTTTATTGGTAGTCCTTGCGCCACTGCTCAAACTTCTCGCTAACTGCTGGTACTGACAATACCTCCGTTTTGTCGACACCTCTAGTGCGCAAATTTACCGTGCTGTCATTAAGCTCCTGCTCTCCCACAACAAGAATTGTATTGTAGTAACTGTTCCTGGCTTCCGCCAGTTTCTTGCCGAGAGTGCGGTCACTAGTGTCGATTTCAACGTGGAACATACCCTGCCTCAACTCGCTTTGCACCTTCTTGGCGTAATCCAGGAACTTCTCAGAAACTGGGACGACAATCGCTTGTCTTGGTGAAAGCCAGAATGGCCAGAATCCAGCGTAATGCTCGATCAAAATTCCTATGAAGCGTTCAAAGGAACCAAAAATGGCTCGGTGAAGAATGACCGGCCGGGCATAGCCTTCCTTCACCGGAGGTGCCTGCCGTGCTTCAGCTTTTGCAGTTTCAATGTCCCCACCTCCACAGCAATCACTCGAAGCCGGTACAGATGGGTCAGATGTGCATTCCGACGCCTTTGCCGCTCCTTCGCCGACACCATTACTACTCGGGTTAGCTGCTGCTTCTTCCTTATGAGCTGCTGGCGCACTTCCGGCTTGATACTGCAAATCGAAGCGAAGCGGAAGTTGGAAATCCAGCTGCAATGTGGCGCATTGGTGTCGCCGACGTAGAGCATCGTATAGCTGAATGTCGATTTTAGGTCCGTAAAAAGCACCGTCCCCGGCATTGAGTTCCCAACCACCCTTCTCTCCGCATTCCTTCCCAGTGAATTCCACAAGAGCGTCTGTTAACATTTTCTCGGCTTTGTCCCAGAGAGATACCGTTCCAAGATACTTCTCAGGCCTCGTGGATAGATGTAACTCGTAGTCGAATCCGAATTTGTCGTATACAGACTTCAGGAATATCAAATAGCGGCTCACTTCCTCTTTCACTTGGTCTTCTGTGCAGAAAATATGAGCGTCATCCTGTTGGAAACGTCTCACTCTCGTCAGCCCTCCCAGTGTCCCGGAAAGTTCATTTCTATGAAGGACTCCGAAATCAGCTAGTCGCAACGGCAGCTCGCGATACGATCTCGCACGTGCTTTGAAAATGTGACAATGGCTAGGACAATTCATGGGCTTGAGCCCGTATTCTCGGGCCTCGACATCGAGAGAATACATGTTATCTTTGTAGTTGGCTGCGTGCCCTGATTGAATCCACAGATCGAAGTCGAACATGTTGGGTGTCTGGACCTCCATGTAGTCGTGGATCCAGTACTGCTGCCTCATAAATTCCTGCAGAGTATTGAAGATGCGCTGGCCGTGAGGTAGAAAGAATGGACAGCCGGGGGAAAGCTGACTGAACATAATGAGCTCCTGCTTTACGCCAAGGAGGCGATGATCGCGTTTCGCAGCTTCCTCTATTAAGTGTTTGTACTCCTTCAGTTGCTTTTTGTCAGGAAAGGAGATACCATAGACTCTTTGCAAAGAGGGGTTCTCGGATTTGGCACGCCAGTATGCCTGACCGGTTCCTTTGCACATCATGGCTTTCGAGCGCGAGCTCTGGGGCACGTGAGGACCACGACAAAGATCTATGAAAGGGCCATCGCGGTATGCCGTAATAGTTGCGTCCTCAGCAAGTTCGGAGATGATTTCAAGCTTGAAAGGATTATAAGAAAACATGTCTTTGGCTTCCTCTTTGGTCAGCTCGAGACGCTCGAACGTGCGCTTCTGTTTCGCAATCTTGTCAACGCGCTTGTTCAAATCATCGAAGTCCGACTCGTGAATCTTTTGATCATTGGGTAGATGAATGTCATAATAGAAACCATCCTCGAGCGGTGGTCCAATGCACAATTCACCCTTGTACTTATACTCCATGGCTTCACCGAGCATATGTGCAGTGGAATGCCATAGAACGGATTTTCCCTCCGCCGTGTTGAAGTCACAAATCTTTAACGTAGAATCCGCTTCAAAAGGTCGAGTCATGTCCCACTGGGAGCCGTTGACGACAGCAACAAGGGCTTTCCTGCCTAGCGTCTCGCTAATGGACATCGCGACATCCATTGGAGATGTCTGGCCAGCGACGGCATCCTTGACGGAGCCGTCTGGGAGCGTGATTTTGATAGGTTTCTGTTCAGCAGTATCGATGCTCATTGCCGACGCCTTCCGAGAGGCTACAGCGGCATCCCAGACTGCGAGGCGATGATCGATATATTCTGGACCCTTCGCCCCCTTCTCGTCGCCACCAGCGCCCGCCTTGGCACTGGGGTTGGTCATCTTGTTGGTTGTAGAAGAGACAGCCTCCAGGATACCAATACCAGTCTAGTATGCGACGGGGCTTGATTTGACGGAGAGAAAAGAGTTTATTTTCGCCTGCAAGAAGCTGGAAGACAAAATGAGGGGAAATGTGGGAAGGATGAAAGGGTTCGAAGGGCGTTTCGCACTGGCGGGATAGCGTCGCGACTTATTAGTACGAAGGTGCGTGAGCTGTCGATGTGGCAATAAAGGGCGACGCGGACCGATGCCACCGACGGAAGTCAATGCTCTTTCTTGACATCAATGACGTGATCCAATTAGCCCAATGAATATCCAACAACGCACTCTTCCACGTGTGGCTTACACTATTTCTGTATCATACTTTCAGAATTACTAAAACGTGCCGCATGTTGTCTCTTCGCGGATACTGTGACCCTCCCGACAACTTCCGGCACCTTCGAGGGCTACCGAAGAAACCCAGCGCCTCGCCGTAACGGACGACGAGGCCGGTAGTACAGACACAAAGTCCAGTTCCTTCGGTACATCTCTGTGCTCCCAACCTGCCCCTCTCGTTCGCTACGCACGTCGGACGCTTCCTCGTTAGCGTCAGCTCTGCAATCTTGGGCTACCATCTTCTGCCATACTTTCTTCGCGCTGAACCACTCAGCATTAGCCAGCTCACGTCTATCCCGGTCCCACCGTCGTCGCCCTGTCCGAAAAGCCCGTTGGCGACAAATGCTTCATCAGACAGTGTTCACATACAGCGACGCATCCTATGGCCGCTGCTTCCAAGCAACGCCGGCCTTTGGTCGACATTTACCCCATCGTCTTTTCAAACCCCGGCATCGCCGTCAAGACTGAAAACGTTCCTTCCGATTTGAATCCCAATGGCGATCTCATTCTTGACCCCTTCGGAAATATCTACTGTTTCGTGTGTCAAGTCAGAGTGCCGCCTGGTTCGTCTAACTGCACTCAACATCTCGGCGGCAAGAAGCATGACACAAACAACAAACGTTTTCCTTCCCCTGATGAGAAGCAGGCGATTCGCGCGAGTTACGTTCAGGCTGCCCTTCAACAGCGCCGAGGCATGTCAGAAATCTCAGCAGAGAATCCTACCTCTTCACCTCCACCGCCTATATCGGCTGGGGAGCCATCTACTCCGCCCGACACTATCGCGCCGCCGCCTATATATGCGAATGGTCGGAGCGAAGCACCCCACTCCGAAATTGAGCCCATCACGGATGAGCCGCCCCAATCCCCTCCCATCCAGAGGGCCCGAAAGACAAAGCGATTGGCACTTACAAAGAAGTATCAAGAGACTACGATCGACAAGAGCGCATTTCTGAAAAGCCTTTTGTCTGACGATGAGACAGAGAGCGTCATGGAAGTTGAGCAGTCCGCTACACCTGAGCAACCGTCCAATGAAGATGAATCAGAAAACGACTCCCCATCACATTGTTTGGATCTAGATGAACGGACAAAGCCCTTTGGTCCACTGAATTTCAATCCGGTTCCTTTTCCCGTTTCATTCGAAGACATGAATACTGACGAAACTGTGCAATCTGAGACTGCCGCTAATATCCGCGAGCTCTTGTTTACTACTCCCACGCCTAAGAAAAAGGCCAAATCTGCGCGCGCCCATCTCGGTTCAGATGGCAAGGGTCCTAAATCGAACGATGACCAAGCTTCCACAGAGGAGGAGAACGACGAAGAGTATATTCCTATCGCGGGCAGGTCAAAAAACGAGCCGGACGGCGAAGAAGGAGCCGTCCCGGAAAACGAGGCTTCTCCAGAACCTTTGATTATTCTCAAGGACAAGAATGGAGATGAGTTGCCGTCATGGCTTCTTGACGTGGAGCCAACTCAGAATGTTCTATACTCTGGAGATTCATCTGTAGCCTTGCACTTCGAAATTCTGCAGTTCTTGCAGTTTGTGTCGCCGACAGCGGAGGAAGAACAATGTCGAAGTGAAATGGCGCAATCTGTAGAGACGATTATCAAGCAGCTATGGCCAGAGAGCACCGTCTCTCTCTTCGGCTCGTATGCAACTGGATTGTACTTGCCAACAAGTGATATTGATATCTGTATCATGGATACCCCGAAAAAGGGCGAACTTGACGAATTTGAACAGCTAGCAGCGGCCATTCGGAACGTTACTGGTTTTGCGCGTCGCGTCCATATCATCAAGGCAAAAGTCCCTTTGGTCAAAATCATAGCCCGGAAGAGTGGTATGAATTGTGACATATGCATCGGGAGAAACAACGGACCCAAGAACGTGCCGGTGATCAAGAAGTATTTGGAAACCTACCCAGCCTTGCGTCCTCTTTTGATGATTGTGAAGTGTTTCCTACAACAACGGGATCTGAACGAAACATACAGCGGGGGCCTTGGCTCTTATACGCTTCTCCTGTTCGTGGTATCTCACCTACAGATGCTGAAGTACAATTTCCCGAACTCGAAGGCAAATTTGGGGGCCGTACTCCAGGCATTCTTCCAATTTTACGGTCGCATGTTCAACTTGTGTCTCGCCGGTATCCGTGTCAAGGACAACGGATGTTACTTTGATAAATTTGACAAGTACAAGACTGTAGCGTCAGAAGTGCTCCGGTTCAGTGTCGAAGATCCAAACGACGAAACGAACGAACTCGGGAGAAATGGCTATGCCGCGTCCAGAGTTCGAAAAGCATTCATTAACGCATCTAATACCCTAATTAATTGGCGTCGTGACGATTCTTCGGCCTCTCCAACGCCGCTTGGTTCGATTCTGCAATGTGACATAAAGCTGCAGCTCCGGCGCAGAAAGGTAATTGAGGATATGGAGGCAAGGGGCCTGCATCCTCTCCGTAGTTCTATGACCAAAGCCGATGATGAAGGGAAACAAACCACGTCTAGAAGGAAGCAAAGCAATAGCGATATGGAACAAAAAAGGGGGAGCGCAGAAAATGAGGAGACTTCTATCGGTTCGGGACGCGCTCAAAGGCGAGGTCGCGAACCAAGAAGCCGAGATCCTCGGGAGCGGGACAATCAAGATTGGGATACGACTTCAGGTGAACGAAAAGGAAGAGAGAGAGAATCCCGTGACAGGGACCCTCGATTAGCAAAGCGACGGCGATCTTCGCACGAGCGAGGCAACGAGCGGACGAGAATTGAGGCAGAGGGATTCAATTACAACGCCTCGGCGGTTGCTCACGAGGGTCTTCCACCAGGTGCCGCGGGAATGAACCCAGGCTTCAGTAGCCAAACCTACGCAGCACAGCCAGGCGGTCAGAACGTTGGACCCATCGGATACAATAGTATATCCAATGCGAACATGTACGGCGAAGGCGTGTACGGAAACCAAGGGGTGTACGGTGAGTACGGAGCTGCACCGTACCAGGTTTCGACACCAGGTTATGAATACACTGGTGTGGGACCTGAGGGTATGCCAGCAGCGCCTTACGATGCTGCCGTGTACGTCGACGGATCTGCGCACTCGATGCAGCAAATGGCGGTACCGTACAGGCAAGAGCAGCGTGGTGGCCCTGGGCGTCGACAACGGAGCGGCAGGAAGCGGAACAGCTACCGCTCGCGAAGTAACTACCGCGGACGGTAAATTATTGTTCCAACATATAAAACTGGAGAAGGAGCACAGACCGGCTGGATAAAACAGAAAAAGATGACGGACGCAGGCTATACTCTCATTCGTTTGCAGACGCTGCGTTCATTTCAGTAGACTCCAAGCGGGTCTTGTCAATTTTGAAAGGGCGATAGTTCTTGATGAACTCGATAGCTTGTTCCGGAGCGTCCGCAACGCCCATGGCGGTCAAAATGTGCTCGCTGACAAAATTTTGCCTAATCCCCTCTCGTATAAACTGCAACAGCGCGTCGAAATAGCCGTCCGTATTTACCAGTACGATAGGGCGTTGATGAAACGAGAGCTGCCTCGCGCACAGAACCTCAGCCAGTTCATCCAAGGTGCCCAGTCCGCCCGGCAAGGCGACAAAAGCGTCTGCATTTTCCCGTAAGCCCGCCTTTCGGTCGGCCATGGTGGTGGCTACCTTGACGGTACGAAAAGGTAAAGGATTAGGTCCGTTGACAAATATTTTGAGAATTACGCAGTCTACCACGCCACCGGCATCTAGTGCGCCGCGGGAGCTGGCGCCCATGAGACCGACGTCTCCGCCACCGTTGCACTGGACCCAGCCGTTCTCAGCCATGAGCTGTTACTTGAGTGGAGTGGAGAGGGGGGGGGGGGGGGGGGGTGAATGTTAGTGTGGGATGCAATTGGGATGAAGAGGTTCGGTGAGGGACGGTGCATACCTGGCCGAGACGGTAGGCATGTTGTTTGAACTTGGGCGGGACGTTTTCAGTGGAGGCGCTGTAGACCGTGACTCTTTTCACTTTGCTCATCAAGGGAAGCAGGTTGGCGTCGAAGTAAGGGCTGGTTAGTGTTTCGACGCGAACGTTAAAATGAGCAGAAGGAGCATATAAACTTTATGTGCACTAATAATATAGATATGTGAGGTATCGTTGCGTGGTAGACCAACGGGATCACGGTGAGCCCGTGCCTCGTGAGGTGCCCGTGCCTCGTGAGGTGCTGTACACGTATTGAAAGGGCGGCGTCGAAATTTAAGGAAATTCCACGTGGAAGTGTTGTACACGTGTGGATGTGTGGGTTGCGGTTGTGCAGAGAGAACACGATAACAAACCATTTCCCACCACGTAGATGGCATAAGGCTGTTACAGAGAACGAAGGGGGTGGAGGGATCGGTGATACTGTATCGCTCCAGTAGTCTATATTCGAGTCGTTGTCTATTCAATATCCATAGGAGGAGCATTAGCTCTTCGAATACGAGAATTGCTATTCAAGGATAAGAGCAGAGAAGGTGGTTTTACGTCGGAGTATTTCGTTGTTAGTCCATGC